TATATATATATATATATATATATATATATTACTATAATGCAGAGTTTCTCGACCTTTTATGTTTTGCAACCCAATATATTTGTTTGTAGTTGTACTGCGACCCAAACTCTTCTATTTGACACAAGGTGACAGCTGTCCATTTAAAAATTTCACGACCCAATTTTGGAACGCAGGTCATAGGTTGAGGAACTGTGTTCTGACGCACAACATATGTTACTTAAATTTCTATTAAACATCTATATAATGATTCAATTTAAATAAAAAAATAAATAAACGACCTTATGTTGGTTTACAACTGTTACCAGCTGAGACTTATGAATAAACTATAAATAATTGTTACCATCATAGTAGAGGGGACAAAGTAAAGTGACTTAAAAAAAAAACAAAAGAAAACTTGTTACAAATGTTTATAACGTACATATCAGTCGGAATTGTCACAAAACTGAGATTTTTGTACAGTGGTGTTCAGTAGAATATTTGGTACGGCTCTTTTGCTTTGATTCTTAAGATGCTACCCTCATATCTAATTATATTCTTATGTGTTGCTACATTTGTGAATTCCCATGGACCACTCAAAGTATACACAAATATTACAAGTAAGTTTAATTACTATTTCATAAATTTATATGAAATTTAACGTAATTAATAGAAGAAATAACAAATAATAGAATATATTTAAATATTCACCTCGGACGTTAGCCCTTTGGCCAGCCTATTAATATATATTTTTTTTATTGTATGTTAAAATTTATTTATGTATAAATTGTACTTTTTCTTATGTATTGATGTTTGGCCAATAAATTAATATTATTTAAATATTAATTGTTTATACACAAAACTCCATGTTATCAATATACAATTATTGTTGTCTGGTAGTAAATTATAAGAAAAAAAATAATCATTTGGACTATGAAATGACAGAAAAACAAGGGTCATTTGATAAAATATGAATTAAAAAATAACTATTTATTTTTATATAATATATTATAATAATAATAAATAATTCAATTTTATATATTTTTTATAATTTATAACATTTCTTTAGACCAATTTTTCAATTGTTCTATAAAACATTTTTGTATGAACAAAAAATAATATTGTCATGAATAGTAAATATTTTTATTGTTTTTCACTAATTATAAAGAATATTAAGAATATTCTGTATGATTCAATATTATTTTATTCCTATTTAGTGACTAGACTCAAACCGATTGCGAAATTCTGCTAGTGCGTAAATGTTTCCACCGGTTACGAAATATGTACGTCGTTTTATATGTGTTTTCTTGTTGTTTTATTTATTTTTTAATTTATTATTTCCAGTTATTGTGATGCATACGAAACAAGTACATTACTTAGTTTCATGTCTATTAATGTGGGTCAATCTGCTTGTATTGCTTCTCTTTAGAAAACGCGTAAGAGTTACATAATTATTCAATTCCAGAATCCTTCAAATTTCCCAGAACATATACTTTTTTAAATTTATAATACAATTTTACTTTGTGACTCACGTGATTAGATGCGTCGAGTGTGTTTAAATGCAAATTTTGTATAAAACATAGTTTTAAATTAAATTGTCGAATTGTCGTGTCTGGAATATCAATTTTATTACTTACACGAGTTGAAAACTAAAATTGTAGTTTAAATGAAATAAAAATGATAATAAACAAGAGACCTTTGATTAAGTTTCACATTAATTCTTGCATTTCCAAAAGAAATTAATAAAATAACGGAAACATTACGAGAAAACATCGATAAACTCTGGAATTTAGGAGTTGTGAAAGAAATTAGTAAAAAGAACAGTAAAATATCCAAAACAAATGCAATGATTCAAATATTTGCACCTGTTTCTTCTAATGATATTCCTATCTATACTATTTAAAACTATCATTTTTCTTGAGAAACAATGATCCATAAGAATAACCAAATTTAAAAAAAAAAACAACTTAAGTTTATTAAGTATTATAAATGTAGTCCAATACCTCGCATAGTGCGGCTTCGATTAGTACGGATTTTCTATGGTCCGGATTGAATTATTCCAAAAGTAATGTTTAATATTTCAGTATTCTGAAACAATTTTATAGACTTCTAAAAAATTATATTATACAGTTAGTTCATAAACTAGCTTAATACATATATAGATGATTTCTATGCGAAACGTCTATTTTTCAGACTTGGAATACAAATCTGGACTGAGATGTGAATGAAATTAGTAATAAAGTAATAAAACCTAATGTTAAATATTTCAGTGTTCTGATTTTTGTAGACTTCTGAAAAATTCAGTAGTCAGTGAATTTGTTAGTTTACTATTTTAACAATTCCGTAAATTATAGTATACAGTTCATAAACTAGCTTATTACATATATAAATGAGTTGCTATGGAAACGTCTATTTTTCAGACTTGGAATACAATTCCATGCCAAAATTATTCCATCTTGACGACTTCAATAGTTGCCTGGACAGGAAAAGCGATTCTCTGTACTGTTTCGCAGTTCTTCAGTTATCTCCAAGAGATAAAAGCAACGTGTCAACGACATGGAAGATAATAGAAGTAACGTAACACAAGAAGAAACAAAACACAAACGAATTAAATCTTTTGTTTTAAGGAAGTCATAAGCATGCCACGATTTTATAGGCACGACCGTCTCAGGCACGGAATTTGCATTCCCGAATCATGTCCGAATATTCCAAACCAACATTACGGCCTTGGAAATGGTACAGTCGAGCTGTGGCAAGGAGTTTCAGACTGTCACACGAAGAGTTTAGATCACGATGATTTAAGGGCCGAAGTCGTGGAAATTCACTGCGAAAATGATCAAGATGTTTATGAGATTGATTCCTGGGATATGCTGTATCTGTAAGTGTAAATGAACTTTCTTCAATGGATTTTTTTAATTTTTTATAATTATTTTGTAAATTTAGTTATTGCATATTAGCGTTGGTACTAGTGGTTGGCATAGGAACAACCTTTGAAGCTTGGGCCAGGTATAAAACACCTGAGGAATACGAAAAGATTACTACGAGCACAACTAGTAAGTTATCTAGTATAATTATAGTCCATCAATACTGCAGATACACTATAGTTCTATTACCCGGACTTTCTTGTATGTTTTTTAGTGAGGAAATTGTGCACGGCTTTTTCATTGCTCAAGAATTGGGATCGATTGGGAAGCGAAATTTCTACAGAAGATGGTAAAGCTTTGGCACCGATCCAAGGGATTCGCGTTCTCAACATGTTCTTCGTGGTAACTTCTCACACGTGCATGCTGGAACTGCACGGTCCAATAGCAAATCCAAGATTCGCAGAAGACGTACAACTAATTTCCTAATATTACCCTAACTTTTGATCTGATCAAATATTTTTTTTTATTGCAGAGCACTTTGCGTACTTTAAACATGTTCGTGAGCAACGGAAATATGGTCATGCAGACGTCTTTTATGATATCCGCTTGGATGTTGAGCTACGGCATTTGCGTTGCCTTCGAAAACAGGAAATTCAATTTCAAAGCCATGATCCAAATTATTGTGCATCGCTTCATAAGGTTTCGAATGATTTCATTTAGTTTTAATACAATAACGAAATTGATAAACTCATTGATTTTCAGGTTGTATCCACTCTTGATAATCATGCTTGGGTTCGGTGCGACATGGCTCAGGCACTCGGGGAGAGGGCCCATCTTCAACGAAATCGTCGATTACGAGTACAGAAACTGCAGGAACAATTGGTTACTCAATTTGCTGTTTATCAACAATCTATACAAGTCTGAACAAATGGTACTGCTAATAACTGATGTATTCTAAATTGTAATTAACAATTTGTTATGTTGCAGTGCATGCAGCAGACTTGGTATTTGGCGGTGGATACGCAAACTTTTATCCTGGGGTTATTCATCATGATGGCCGTCATCAAAAATCCACAGCACGCTAAGAACATTTTCGGATCTATAATCTTTCTCAGCATATGCATCACCTTCATCCAACATTATTACAACGCCTACGATATTCTCTTCAGATCTTATCCAGAGTAAATACTGAAGATTTAGTTTATTTATTAAATTAATTTTTGGTTTTCTCTTAGAATCTTATACAGCATGTACATGAAGTTGCCACAATGGCACACTATGTTCATAGGGACGCAGCACCACATCCCTTGCTACGTCCAAGGATTGGCCTGCGGTTATTACTTCCACAAGATTCGGAAGGAGAAGAAAACCATCGTCTTAAAAAAAGTAAACTACGTAATGATTTAAACTTACCAACTATAAACCATACATTTTAGGGCGTTTACTTCCTCCTGCTATGTTACATGTGGATAGGACCGATATTCACAATACTAATTGCAGCCGCTTTCTATCAAGACGGTTTCGAAGCTTCCAGATGGTTCGCCGCGTTCTACCATGCCATCGCCAAATACTCTTTCGGATTACCCATCAGCATAGCAATATTCACCTTTACATTCGGAATTGGAGGTATAACAATACATCTTCAAATAGGACCGTATGGTAGACTTTCTCAGTATGAAGCAAGTTTTCGAAATGCAACTTCCAAACTTTTCTTAATACGCCTGACTTTGAACCTGATTTTCAAAAAAAATACTTGCTACATGTTTGGAGACATCCAATTTTTATTGTAGTTTCCACAAATATCACTAAAATTTGAAATCACTGCTTGTTAATTTTTTAATTTTTTGTCAAATTTGATCGCGAATTACAGCCAAATGGCTAAATTATTCATATATACAACTTTCATATGCATCTTTTAAATCCATTTAATCTATTAAACTTTCGGAGAAAATCACTAAAATGTAAAGACACTGCTTTTTCGAAAGTTCATATGGATGAAATCATAACAATGTTTGAATACTCGTTACTTTCCTAAAACATCCAACTTTCATATGAACCTTTTTAATCTAATCAATGTATTGTAGTTTCCGAGAAAATCACTAAAATGTGAAAATATGAGAACTGCTTACGACACCCTTTTACTTTTACCATCATATCGCCACATGAACCTGTCTTCAATTAACTTTTCATTAAATTAATTAAACAAACAAATCATCAACAGGTCCGATGATTAACGTTATCAACTGGAAACCATTCCACGTCCTTGGAAGATTATCGTTCGGAGTGTACCTGTCGCACGTACATATCTTAAGAATGAATCGAGCTATCAATAAGACTCTTAGTTTTATTACGGAAAGACTCTTGGTGAGAATCAAAAGATTTTTTAAAATTATTTTTCAGCATTTTTTTTATATTATTATTTTAAGATTCGCTGGATGTTGGGTGACGTAATGCTATGTTACATCGTAGCAACAGTAATTTGCCTGTTCGTGGAAATGCCGACTTCTGCCGTTCAAAATATTATGATTAGTTCCAAGAAGGAAAAGAAAAACAAATTGAAAAATAATTGATTTTTAACAAATCTATTACCATTATGTAAATAAACATTTATTAACAAAAGTATATATGTACAAGAAAATATTTCTTATTATATATAGACAATAGTAAATTTCAGCTCATGAAACTTTTTTATCATCGTACCTTTTTTTTACTCTTACCGTAATCCTCCAGATCAGTGTTTCTCAAACTTTTTGATCTGCGACTTCCTTTTACACACAAAATTTGAAGGATCCCATGGTGTGTCGCGACCCTTACTTTGAGAATCACTGCTCTAGATGTTATTATTTCCAAATACCGGTTAATATTCCTTTTTTCTGTCCTATTAATAAAGTTAACATTTCCAAGTGTATTCAGTCTCTGAAAGTCCCGGGTAATCTTCTTCTACCAATAATGAGCTTCCCTCTGGAAACTTCTCCACATTTAGTTGGGTCCTGTCGACGCCGTTTACCAGTCCTGTTTGAAACCGGACTAATCGAGTAACTAAATATATATAGAAATATACAGCACAAAAAGACTCGAAAACACCGATCGTTTATGTTTTAAAGAACATATTTTGTGTACTAATTTTCTAGTATTTATTTTGACTTTCTCACTATGCGAGATATTTCTGTAATATATACAGAATTAACTCGCATAAGTAATAAAATATTGATTTTATAAGGAAGTTATCTTTTATTTAACACTGATTTAAGTTACAACTTAAGTTAAATTACTCTTTGTATAATTATGAAGAATGACTTTTAACTTTGTTGTCTTTTTTCTTATCAATAGACATTAAAATGTTGAGTATCGCCGAGGTAGGTAACTCGATGAGCAAGCAGAGCACAGCTCCTAATAAGTACGAGATTAGAATATCTCCGAAGACCCAACGGATCTGCAATACGTAATAAAATAAATTTCATTAATAAGTTCGTGTTCGTGCAATGTTACCAAAACTCGTTCAGTTAAGAAACTCATGTTCCTGTCTATGCCGCGGTTCATCCGCATGAAGTGCAAGTGCGATAAATACACGGTGAACGAAAGTCTTCCAAGAACATGGAACGGCCTCCAGTTGATGAATTTGCGCATGGGACCTACAGCAAATTGTAGTTGATCATCCGTTAATAAGATCATAGCCTTAAATACCTCCGTATCCCAAGAAGAATCCCAACATACCAATTAAGATTGGCAAACCGAAGCACACCCTGGAAAGAGCGTGGTAAAGAGCAGCGTTGAATCTGAAAGTGAAGCGAATTAATAAGAATAATGTTGTAACTTTTATAGTTAAACCTTGATGTTTCAAAGCCGTCATTGTAAGTGGGTGCCGCGGATAAAATTGCTCCAATTGGTAAGACGAAAAAAAAGACATACGAAACCCGAAAGAAGTTGGTATATTTTCTTGAATATTTTCTGTACTTGTGAAAGTAATATCCGCCTGCTAGTCCTAGGATGTAACAAGGTATATGGTGTTGAGTGGCAATAAACATCCTAAGCCATTGGTTCATTTTTAGATTCAATGTGTACAACATTCTGAAATCAAAAAAATATGAACAAACATCCTGAAACGAAATACGTATTTACTCTGGATAACTTCTGAACACGATGTCGTAGGCGTTGTAATAATGTTGAATGAATGTTATGGATATTCCCAGTGCGAAAATGGATGCAAAAATTTTCTTCGCATACTCCGGTTTATTTATGACCGCCATCATCGTCAATAAACCAAGAAGAAACAGCTGACTATCCGCTGCTAAATACCACGTTTGCGGTAAACACTGCAATAATCATTCATTATAATACTCGTACTTTTGTAACGTACATTATCTTAAATTACCATCTCCCCCGGTTTGTACATATTATTGATAAACAGTATGTTCAGTAACCAATTATTCCTACAATTCTTGTACTCAACATCTATAATCAAGTTAAAAAACGGTCCAGATCCTGTGTGTCTCAACAGAGTTGATGCAAAACCGATCATCATGATTAAAATCGGATATAACCTAAAGCAATAACAGATTACCTCTTTGTCGCTCTATCAATAAAATGTAATGTTTTCACATTTTATAATAATTTTCATTACTTCATTTTTGAACGCGAATTACAACCAAATGGCAACCACAGCAATAATTGAATACGCGTTAAATTGCCCAAATATTTAGCTTACTTAACCATTTTTGGATGCATCTTATCTATTACTGATTTTGAGAAAATTACTAAAATGCTTACAACCAAATAGATGAAACCACAATAAAAATTGTATTCTCCAAATATTCAGCTCTTTGGATTAATTCTATCTATTATAGTTACTGATAAAATCACTAAAATGTGAAAACAATGCTTTTTCAAGCGTTAATTATAGCCAAATGGATGAAATTACAGCAATAATTACATTTCCCAAATATACAACTTTCATATGTATCTTTCATGTCAATTCTATCTATTATAGTTCATAAAAACGAACATACCTTGCAATTCGAATAAAAATAGCATTGATAATATCCAACAAAGAAACTTTCTTGTTTTCGAATATCTGAGTAATGTTGAAGCTCAAAAGAAACGCAGATGTAATAAACGAAGTTTGCATGATTAAACTTCCATTGCTTAGAAACATATTTGCGGGTTTCAGAGTTGTCTAAATATTGAACAAAAAAAACAGTAAAACGTGATTAACTCAATTCGCACATAAATACACATAAATACATTTTCGACAAACTGCGGATTGGCCAATGGTCCTAAGAATTCTAGCATGCAAGTGTGCGTCATTATCACGAAGAACATATTAAAAACGCGAATGCCTTGGATGGGAGATAAAGCTAGCCCATCCTCACTTGTTATCTCGCTGCCCAATCGCTCCAAGTTCTTCGTCAACGAGAAAGCCGTTAACAATTTTCTTGCTGAAAAATCGGATCAATAATAATCACATATTACATTTTATTGTTTTCATTTACCTTTGGAGCTGCTGGTAATCCGTTCGTATTCTTCGGGTTTTTTGTACCTTGCACGAACTTCGAATGTGGTTCCTATGGTTACCAAAGCAAGAAAAGTCAGCAGAGTGCATCTAAATCAAAAAATATATTTTCAATAATATATCGAATGCAAACAGGATGTAATTAACGTACATGTAAGCAATATCCAACGAATCAATTTCGTAAACTGGTTGATCATTTTGACAATTGATTTCGGTGACTTCACTTCTCAAGCCTAAATGATCATACTTATGCGAGTAACAATCCGAAATTCCTTTCCACAATTCCTCAGTGCCGTTTCCCAATCCGTAATTTGCTTTTGGTATGTTCGGACATGTTTCTTGTACGCAAATCCCATGTCTTAACCGATCGTGTCTGTAGAACCTGGGCACAGTTATCACTTCCTAACAACAAATACGCTTATATAATTATATCGAGATAAATGCAATAAATTGCTTTACTTCAATAATTTTCCAGGTTTTCGATAAATTATCTACATCTTTTGGAACGAGCTGAACTGTTGCGAAACAATACAGTGAATCGCTTTTCTGAGTTAAACATCCGTCAAAATCATCCAAATGGAATAGAGGTGGCATAGACTTATATTCTAGTTCTGAAAACAATTACAAATACTTGACGTTTGAAAAACCTAACATTGTTAGCCAACTTGATTCAATAGACACTAATAAATCGTTGACATTTTTGTTTTTTCTAAATATAATAATTAGAATTGTTTGAAATTAGTTTCAATAACAATAAAAAAAAATGATATTGAATGTATAAATCAAAAATTGCAAATAAATAAATGTGAAAACACTTTATGAATACAAATATGTCTGTGAAACTAAAACATGATTGCAAAAAATAAGTAAATTTTTCATTTGCAGTATGGTTATTTGTTGAAATAAAGTAAATATTAAGTTAATTTTATAAATATAGACACAAAATAGGTGCTATAAATTAATGGAAACTCATTTATTACATAAAGTGAACAATAAATATTAGAAGAGTAAAAATAAAATAATTATTTAGACTATCGTTATTTATTTCTTCACTAGATTACTTAATTGCATATAAACATTTATTTACAGCAATACCTCGCAAAGTGCGTGTAATTCCAATATTGTGGACTGTATTAAATAGGACAAATGGTTACAAAAAAAAACGCAACTAAAAGAGACTTGATTGAAAAAAACGATGATTTATGTACAAATAAAAAGAATTTTGTGTACTAATTTTTATAGATTTTATTTTGCTCAACTAAAATTTAGTTTGTTTTGAATTTTTTAAACCGTACTATAATAAATCCGCACTAATCGAAGCCGTATTATGCTGTAGTTGATTTTTTGCAAGAAGTTAAATAAATTAGCAAGGATTTAATATTAAATTAAGAAATTTGAAGTTAATTATTAAATGAGTTATAGAATTGTTTTCGAAATTAAAACTTAAAAAAAAATAAATTAAAAGAGTTTTGTGTACTAATTTTTATATATAATTTTATTTTGCTCAACTAAAATTTAGTTTGTTTTGAATTTTTTAACCGTACTATAATAAATCCGCACTAATCGAAGCCGTATTATGCTGTAGTTGATTTTTTGCAAGAAGTTAAATAAATTAGCAAGGATTTAATATTAAATTAAGAAATTTGAAGTTAATTATTAAATGAGTTATAGAATTGTTTTTCTGAAATTAAAACTTAAAAAAATAATAAATTAAAAAGAGTTTTGTGTACTAATTTTTATATTTTTCAATAAAATTTATTTGTTTAATTTTTAAATTGATTTATGTTTCTCAACTAAAATTTAGTTTGTTTTGAATTTTTTAAACCGTACAATAAATCACAAATCCGCATAATGATATATATGTATTATGTGTAGTTGATTTTTTGCAAGAAGTTAAATAAATTAGCAAGGATTTAATATTGAATTAAGAAATTTAAAGTTAATTATTAAATGAGTTTTAGAATTGTTTTTCTGAAATTAAAACTTAAAAAAATTAAATTAAAAGAGTTTTATGTACTAATTTTTATAGATTTTATTTTGCTCAACTAAAATTTAGTTTGTTTTGAATTTTTTAAATCGTACTATAATAAATTCGCACTAATCGAAGCCGTATTATGCTGTAGTTGATTTTTTTGCAAGAAGTTAAATAAATTAGCAAGGATTTAATATTGAATTAAGAAATTTAAAGTTAATTATTAAATGAGTTATAGAATTGTTTTTCTGAAATTAAAACTTAAAAAAATAATAAATTAAAAGAGTTTATTCTTTTCAATTTAACAATTTCTTGTCACAGAATATTGTAGATCTGTTCTGCATTTATATGGAACAAAACTCACCTGTTATATTAAGAATGACTTTGATTGGTCCAACGGAACGAGCTGGAATTGCACAGAGTGCGAAAATCAGCAAAATGCACAACATTTTCATCTCACAATTTAAATAAGAGAAAAAAAAAACTACCGTGAACGTTTATAATTCACAATAAACTGCCTTCTGCATTGGAAACATATGTCTTTTATACGAACCACAACCAATTCTAAAACGTTTCGCAACATCATTTATCGCCTCGATTCCACAAAATACTTCTGCCTTAATTACAATTACATTACAAAAAATAAATACTTTCAATAAATATATATTCAATAATTGATGCATATAAACATACATGCAATAAATTGTGTTTATTATTATTAGCAATAAACTTTAACTATTTTTTCTAATACTTTGTACCTTCTATAATTAAGTGACTGGAATACATATGTAAAATATATTAAATTATTGAAAAACTTCCAAAATTAACATAGAATTTTCTATTTTCCTATAAAAATATGTAACTCTATTTACCTACTAAGACGGGTCAATTTAGTTGAAAAATATCAATATTGTCAATTTATTAATTAAATTGAACAATCGATACAAAAGTAACAGTTAAATATTATCTATAAATACGAATATCAGTACATGTACATGTTTCAACGATACAAATAAAAAATAAATCCCGTTATCCCAAGATGGTGATGTTCGCCTTGACATGATTGAACAGTTCAAGGATATCGCTGTTACCTAAGACTAGTTTACAAATAATAATGCGCCTAATTATTGAGAAAACAATACGTTGTTGCAAGGAATTATTATTTCTACTTATTTACCTTATTAAGATTATTGGTATTTTTATCTTTTTACTCATTATAATTATTAGTAAATAGATATTCATGTTTTGCATTGTTGAGATCTTGAAGCAATTGATGAATCAAGACCAGCAAAACTTTAAGTTTATATAATCAGTGATTAAGATGAGAATGAAAAGATTTTTTGGATAATAAATACATTTGTAAATACATTTAAAAAAGCAGTATGGCTTTGATCAGTCCGCAATTACTATAGTTCGGTTGAAACATTTCAAAACAAACTAAATTTTAATATAAATAAATTGTAATAAAGTAGTATACGAAAGTAATAAAAAATAATTAATAACCGCCTTTTGGACAAAGGTCTTCTATTTATATTAACTATATAGTAATACCTCGCATAGTGCGGGTAATTGGTTTTGCCAATATTTGAAATTGGACTAATCAACCCTTGATATAGTAAACAATTTCAGTTTTACATTCGATATAGTCACGTCATGAGAAACAAAATCGAGAAAAACTAGTTCTTGAATAAAATTGTTATTAATATGTTCTTTTGACACCATAATTTGTAAAGCGACAAACTATTGCAAAGGTATTTCTTTATTAACTTCTATCATATTTGAATCTTTTCGTATCTGAGTGACGGTTATTATTTTGCTGTCTGTGTAAGGTAGAAAATAGTAGCCTCAAACATAAATTAGAAATAATGTAAATATTTTCTATACAAATAATAATTTTCACATTATTTTGTCTGGAATGTAAAGTATAAGGTTTATGAACTTACTATATGTAAGTTATGTGTGGTTTTTACACGAAAAAAACGTCTTCATAGCTCTTTGAAAATTGTGTACGCAATTGCTACCATTGGGCGTTTTGTCTAGTTTGACGATAAAAAAAATGTTTGTTTCTGTTTTTGAAAAACAAAAGTGATTAATCTTCATTCTATAAGTTTGACCTGGAAACCAAGCAGCAGTCCATGGTATGGAGCGCACAAGGTGCGATTTACTTTACCAGGGCAAACGTGGTAGTTGCTATCTCACTGGAAACTGGTCAGACGGTAACTCCTGAGTAGTACACAGAAACTTGCTTACCACAAGTTTTCAAAAATTTGTTGGGAAACCAGAAAAAAGGATAATGCACCCACGCACACTACTGAAGTAAAAAACAACTTTCTTGCTCTATCTGGCATCAATGAATTTCGCCCAGCACCTTATTCTGCCGACCTAGTGATTTCTGGCTAAAAATGAAGTAAAGAGTCTTCAGTTCCAATGAAGAGATCATTTATTAAAACTTGAAAAGCTACAAAAAGCCGATTTTGAGGAATGTTTTGAAAGGTGGCTCTACTGACTTAAGAAATGTATTGAAATAAATGGAAATTATGTAGAGAAATTACAAAAGGATGAAAATTAAAAATATTAAGGTAGAATACCAAAAGAAAATTTACATGAAAGTAATGAAATTATCGAAGACAGTTCCTGTGAATAATACAAAAAAGCAAAGTGCCAATTTTGTATTCAACCATGGTGACTATATCGAATGTTCACTGAACATACAAAAAATATAATGGTTAATAAAACGATCATAATTCTATGTACATATTTTGTAGAATTTATTTCTATTTTGCTGAGTTAAAATTTAGTTCGTTGCATTTGAGTTCTCATGCTGAATGTTTTTTAAGTTTTTTATTCATTTTTTCATCACTGGAGGAGAAAATTTTGAATATCGCCGAAGTGGGTAACTCGACGAGTAAGCACAGCATAGTTCCTATTAAATATGAGACAAGAATATCCCCGAAGACCCAACGAATCTGCAACATTTCATATAAATTAATTTACATTCAGATTAGTTTTCGTTTTTATTCAATGTTACCAAAACTCGTTCGGTTATGAAACTCAAGTTCCTGCTCATCCCTCGGTTAATCCTCATCAAGTGCACGTGCGATAAATACACGCTGAATGAGAGTCTTCCAAGAACATGGAACGGTCTCCAGTTGATGAATGTGCGCATGGGACCTACATAAAATTGTAGTTATTAACCGTTAAAAAGATCGTCACTTTAATTACCTCCGTATCCCAAGATGAATCCTACTATGATTATTAGGATTGGCAAACCGAACAACACACGCGAGAAGGCTTGATAAAGAGCCGCGTTGAATCTGCAAAGTTTAAGAGTTAATGAAGTGATGTTACAAAAAAATAATATAATTAAACCTTGATGTTGCAAAACCTTCCTTGTAAAAGGGCGCCGCAGATAAAATTATAGCCGCGGGAACGATCATACAGAAAAAGTACCAAAACCGAAATTCGTATACTTCGTTGGTTTGCTTCCGCTTTTGGTATTTATAGAAGTAATATCCACCTGATAGTCCTAACATGTAACAGGGAATTTGGTGTTGAGTGGCTATAAACATCTTAAGCCATTGATTCATATTGAGATACATAGTGTATAGCGCTCTAAAAACAGCACACAATAAAATATTAAAATAATATATTATAAATTCTATTTTACTCTGGATAACTTCTGAACACGATGTCGTAGGCGTTGTAATAATGTTGAATGAAAGTCGTGGATATTCCCAGTAGGAAAATCGATACAAATATTTTCTTTGCATACTCCGGCTTATTTATGACCGCCATCATCGTCAATAAACCAAAAACAAAGAGCTGAGTATCCGCTGCCAAATACCACGATTGTTGTAAACACTGAAATAATTCTTCAATAAAATACTCGCACTTTTATAAAATTATTAACGTGATTTACCATCTCCTCCGGATTGTACATATTATTGATAAACAGGATGTTTATTAGCCAATTCTTCCTGCAATTTCTGTACTCGTAATCGATGATCACGTTAAAAATGGGTCCCCTTCCCAAGTGTCTCAACAGCGTTGACGAGAAACCGATCATCATAATTAAAATCGGATATAACCTAAAACAGCAACACAACTTTATTGTAGTGAAAATGATTTAGTTTTAGGAAGAAGTTTGAAAAAAAAAGAAAAAAAGCACAAACAATCAACTTTGAATTCGTAATTTTATTTCATTTACATCCTCCTCCTCCTCATTCTGGCCATAGTATTTTTAGCTCTGAAAACGAAGTAATTACGTTGAACGCATCTCATTCGTTAATCGAGGTATTACTGTATATATTTTTTGTTATTATTTGATATATAAATACGTATTTTTTTTTTGTATTTACGTATGACTGTTGAAAACATAATTATTTTTAAAACCTTATAAAACTTTAAAAACTCCCCGACAATCACAGATTTTGAAATATGAACAATTTGATTGAACTAATTGTAAATATTTATTCTATTTTATAAAATGTATCTATGCGGCTTTGATAAGTGCGGATTTACAATAATCCGTAAAATAAATTAGTACATAAAAATTATTGTTTTAACCATAATTAACCATTCTTGTGTTAATTTTTATGCGGTTTTAAAGTCTTGTTTCAAACAGTGCGACATATTGACGAAATAGCATTATGCGAGGTATTTCTGGATTTATAATACATTTTATTTAACTATTTTTGAAAGTTGGGCTACTTTTTAGCAGAGAGAAAACATAAAGTATATCAAGATAACTTAATACAACATGATTCTATATGTAAATAAGTTAATGATATATATCTTAAATAATAACATACCTTAATATCCTATTTATAATTGCGTTGAAAACATTTAACAAAGAAATCTTCTTGTTTTCGAAGTATTGGCAAATGTTGTAGCTCAAGAGAAACGCTGATATAATAAACGAAGTTTGCATGATTAAACTTCCATTGCTTAAAAACATATTTACAGTTTCCAAAGTCACCTAAATAATAAAAAAAAAAAAGCAAATTAACATCTTCTTAGAAAATGCACAAAAATACTTTACATTTTCGACGAATTTCGGGTTTGCCAACGGCCCTACGAATTCCAACAAGCAAGTGTGCGACATTAACACGAAGAACATGTTGAAAACGCGAATGCCTTGGATGGGAGCTAAAGCTAGCCCATCCTCACTTGTAATCTCGCTTCCCAATCTCTCCAAGTTCTTCGTCAACGAGAAAGCAGTTAACAATTTTCTTACTGAAGAATTGGATTAATAAAATCACATATTACAATTATTATTTTCGCTTACCTTTGGAGCTGCTGGTAATCCGTTGGTATTCTTCAGGGATTTTGTACCTTGCGCGTACTTCAAATGTGGTTCCTATGGTTACCAAAGCTAGCAACGTCAATAGAGCGTATCTACGTTAAAAAAAACATGTTTTCAATAATATATCGAATGCAAACAGGATGTAATTAACGTAC